TCTAAAATTTTTTTGCTTAGCTAAGATTTTAGATAAGACTGGATCATGAAACTGTCTCAGCCAAATCTTAGCTAAGACTAAGACTAAGACAGTTACCATGGCAATTTTAGAATGATGTAATCATGTCCGGTCACTCTTAAATATGTTCCAAGCAAGTCAACTGACTCTTTTATCCCTGCCGCGGTGACTTTTAGTGTCTTTAAGGTAGAGATGTTTTCGAAATACACCAACACGAACGCCTAAATGCGCTTTCTGCCACTGCATTGGATAGTGTTTTGAAAATCACGTTTCGCGAAGGCTGGTATTGAGACGCCTATTACATTACGTATATTTCCTATTCAGCTGTGACAAATACATCACTGAATTCCTCATACATTTTAGTATCAAATAAGAAATGGTCTTTGTCACTAAAACCAAGTGTCTAGGTGATATGAAACGAACGCTGTGCGCGAAAGACAGCACTTGTTGAAATGTAAACAAAGAAACATTGAGACTTTACACCGTGTACTGCATTTTCTCAACTTTCAGACACCCATTCGTCTATTCGTAGCATGCATAGGCTCAATACTTTTAGAACATACATGGAAATAGTATCGTAGCAAAAAATAGCAAATTTATAATAGATACAATACAGTAATGTGATATGTTTATACGAAATTGTCAAAGTTTCTGTGCAGCGTAACGCCATGACTGACGGAAAATCTCGCAGAACAACAACGGTAATGATCGGCATATCTGGCTTCTTCTCTTACTTACAATGAAAACGATAAAACATGTAACAATACACAGATAGTCAGAATCATTCTGATTACTCACATCACACATTTATGTACAAACGATCCCCGAATCAAAGGAAAGGTCCTCGGAAAATCCTGTATACCCATGTCACCGAAGCCGCCATTTTGTAAGAAATCGGTCAACGGTTGTGATGTCATATACGTCAACATTGTTGTTACATATTTGGCAATTTCTTTGAGGTGAAGGTCGGTTGAATAAGAGTAGACACAATCGCCATGTTCCACCAATTACACTTTCAATGTATATTTTGAGTATCTTTCAGATATTTTTTCATGAAACTAATTTCATTATCTACATTTAGCCTTGTTCTATATCATATCCTTGGATATAGGGTATACGGTTTTCATTCTTTCAAGGCTTTTGATTGTTTGAATAATATTTACATAAGAAATTGATATACTGAGTGTAGTAGACCATATTTTAAACCCTTAAACAAGTATTAGACAGAAGAACAAACGAAGGCGTAACTGCAACATGTACTTAAATAGTTCATGTATCATGTGCAATATTCGCCATTCGGACCAATATTACAGTTGCATATGAACAGGTTATGAATAGCGATTTTACTTTCATGACCCCGGGGCCAGGGGTTGTGAAATATTCTTTTTAATTTACGTCAAATTGATGCCAAACAGGTGCGTGTGTTGTTCATATTAAGATACAAAGTCAAACCGTCTAATTATGGATCTATTCAGGACATTATTTAAATGGTAAAATCAGTCATTTTAAGTTCTGTCACAAGAGTGTTAAATTCAGACATAGAAACCGAAACCTTTTACACAATTCATGGAAATTATGTGAGATATATACTGATCAGCATACCAGTGTCGTTTTTTTCCGACATCGCAAAATACATAAAAAACAAGCAATGACTACAATTTTGTAATCTTTTCAGTAATTTCATTATCTTTGAAGATATGGCTAGTACTCAGTAAATAATGATAATTTACATATCGGATTGGGCCATCCAAATCGCTTTTACGTGCTTTCTCATGTATAGTACATTGTCATCTTTTCTTATAACTTGTGAAACTTCTAAAACGTATCCGCTCACATTGGGGAACTTTGTATTGGAATACATGTAGTTTGGTTCACGGTGAACAAAACATAAGGAAAATATAGCGTCCGTATCCACAACGAGTTCTCTCCAAGTGATCTGAGTTACATTGACCTAGTGTTAAGCATAGCGGAGTTATGCCCCCTTATCTTTATACGCGTATGGCCTCTTTGTCGTCCTTTGACGTCATAGAAGAAAATCCATTTTTGACATTTTTTGCGAGTCATATTTAATGTTGAGCGTATAACGTTATGCATAAGCAAATAAACCCATTTCATATATACTTATGTCGTTCAGATATCAGGCTGTAATCTTTTCGCTCACACTTTCTGTAAAGATGCCAAATTTAAAAAATCGTAGCACAGTGCTTTTACCGGTGCACGATCAAGAGCGGAGAAATTTACTGTTTTTGAACGCATAGCAAAATTTTGGACATCATTTAGCAGTGTTTATTTCGCAAACCACCGAGGTATTTGCATTTATACTTATACCAACGGATAGGAAATTTAATATACCACATTTCTCTGTAATTTTATAGCTGTACGCAGGTCCAGGACCACGCGAGCGCGAATCTCGCACAACGTTCACTTTTCAAACCTTATGAAATTGAGCGCCTGAAAAAAAACTCGCCATCAAAAAGGGCTTAATACTGGTAGGTAGCAGTCTCAGGATTTAAGACAAAAAATGATCTCAGTCTTAACTTTTAAGACTAAAAAATGTACGTGATCCCCGATTAAAGACAATTTTTTTGACTTAAGATGAAAAAATGACAGACTTAAGCAAATTTTAGACTTAAGTCACTTTCATGACCCCGGGGCCTGGTAAATATCACAGTGTAGCATACACGGGTGAGCATAGCACGATCATGGTAAATAGTGGTCGCACTTAAAATGTGGTGTCACTTGATGATGGCCGGTAACAACAGTTCAGAAGATCACATATCAAGTCTATCACAGTTCAAGTCTATATCACAGGTATGAATACAAGATCCAACCTTATATCACAGCGTGTCTTGAACTTGGTCTTGATCTGTCATCAGGCAATAGCGTTCTGAGTCAGCAGACGGACGAGTATCACATCAAAAAAATTCCTCACTGGGGGCTCCATTGTAGACGGGCTAGTCCCATATAACACAAGGGCCAGCCGTAGGGCAGAGTTCTTTATTTTTGGTTCAGCCAGAGGTGGATGTATACCCTCGCACGATCAACTCAGCTATGAGCTGAATCAAATGGCTGGTGCTTCATCAGAACACCTTCACAAGAATATCTTCATTTCTTCAAGACCACCACATGTGTCCCTGGTAAAGTTGCCGGCCAGAATGACAATCTTAAACATCTTGCCTTGCATGAAATGCATGTGCAGCAACTTACAACCAATGAGAAGTTTCAAGGCTTTTTCATAAACTTTAGGCCAATCAGCACAGTTAATACAACATATGAACTGTGAACTATCCTTACATAGGTGGCAAGGCTCCAAATGAGTGGTCCTGGGGGTCACCACCTCATTATGAAATTAATAATCTTTTAAAACCTTATAATAAAACCCAAACACCAAAACAATGTCAAAATAAATACAGTATTTTGCACCCTGTTACATACAAATATGATAGTAAACTAATTAGGATTATAAGACAAAATATAAAGACGTACATTGACTTGGTTATTTCACTGCTAACATTTTTTTTACAACTGGCAGATGGTTAAAATTAAAATGATTTCATTTGCTATCAAAATAATGTCCTTTAATACAGCATTCAGATTGACTAGTAGTGAACCCAAGCTCACTACTCTCCCCAAGACTCCCCATGAATGAATGAATGAATGAATGAATGAATGAATGAATGAATGAATGTCTATATTTCCTCCAAAAATATATTCGACGATTACATAAACAAACATCAGTCAGTTACATATATCTACATATGATATGTACAAAGCACGGTTATTGACAACAATGATAGTTCAGAAAGTATACATCAAGGAATCCTTTAAAGAACAGATATAGTTCGAAAAATGTAGTATAATGGTTTGCCATGCTGTTTCATGAAGGCCAGGTATGTGAAGTTTTGCACCACAAAACAGTACAAGGGCATCTTCATCATCAAGCATTTCAATTAATACATATATTTCTACGTCCAGTAGGTCAAGTAGCGTCATATCAAAATGATTTCTTTGGCTCATTACAGATTCACAATGCAAAATGATGTGGGCATCGCGGTCATAGCAGTACTTATTACAAAGCATACATTCTTTTGAAAATTTGGCTAGTACAGCAAGTTGTATATGGTCTTTATATTCTGGGTACAGATACATTAGAGTGTAAACGGTGCTATTATTTCAGGCTTCTCACCAAATTCAAGGTCAAACCATTTCTTAAATCAAATTCTACATCCATATACGTTAACATTATTATAAAGTCAACATTACTATGAAATCAAAATTTTACATCAAAATCAGCATTTTTATCGAAGTGAATTTTTTTTCTTTGAAACCAAAGTCTACATAATATTACAACAAAATCAACATAAGATTATCGAGTAAAAAAGATTTCATCTGTGTTGATCAGTCTATACTTATATTATCAATTTCGTAAGAGGGTGGCGCAGCAGAGGTAACAAACCAGACATGAATTCTGGGGACTCAATGGAGAAAAACAATAACAAAAGCAACAACCAGTCCACGGAAATTGCTCTGGATCAGTGGCCCTTTAAACTACCTAGTGATACCTCGCTCTGCAAAGGTTTGCTTTAACAAAATGTGCTCTGATATTTCGAACGCGACTGGCTTTTGACCTAATAAATACCATCTTTATCATCTAAATTCCCCTTATATTCATGTTGTAATATTAATTCTACGTTGATATAAAAACGATATGACGTTTGCTGTGTGAAAACAACACACGAGTCGGCAAATCAAACTCTTTTTCATAAAATAATTGAATAATAATCACAGCACACACCTTGGCCGGAAGGGAACTCATCCAAAAGGGGGTGGGGGTGGGGCCTAAGGGTTCTCAACTCACTGTCAAAATCGATTAGGTCACAAAAGGGTCACACACTTGTGTGATTACGTCATAAACAAAATGGCCGACTTTCTTGCTCTTCATTTATTCTTTCTGAGTTTCTTCAAATGTCGATGAAAAAAATTCAGATTGTCTTGTGTCTGCCTTCACCCAAGGCTCCAAGTGTAAATTCGGGGTCTTCGAGGTATATCCTGTCTCCCTGTGTTTTCCAAATCCTGCAAAACAGATTATTTCATTTAAACATGTCCATTCCCAAAACGAGTGAGTGAGTGAGTTTAAGTCACATCGGCCATATCATGACTAAAAACAAGTTGTAATTGCATAAAAAAATATGGTAAATTATAAAAACCTGTCGGCGAAGGACATTAAGAATAACTAGAATGTCACATATATAAGCGTAAAACTAGAATAAAAATCTAAGATATCTTTACTATGAAAGACAATACAAAATATAAACGGGCTATAGATCGCGACAACTGTAGGTAGATCACCATGCACCAAACAAGTCTCCCCACACATGTAATTTCGCCCGTAGACGTTGGTATTCAAACTGAGTGTCCATGTTAACTATGAACTATGAGCCTTGTACATAAACAAACAAACGTTGGAATAACACTAGAATATATTTCGGTGCCTGTCAAAGCCCTTAGCAATGTTTACAATGTAGATGCAAAGTGAATCAATGTTTACCTGTACGTCTGTCTCCGTGTTGTGTAAATAAAATACATAAAGCCTCATTTTTCCTTGGCCGATCATTTCATTTTGAATTAATTTGAAAAACAAGTGATAAGTTCCCAGGTTCGTTTCATAAACAATGTCCACAGTATTCCATTATCTTTGGAACCGCAAGAGTATAACTCGTGGCCTCAACAGTAAGAATCGCATTAGTTTACGTGAACGTCAACGTCAATATGTATAGTCCCATAATCCATCATACACCAGCACACTGATGACCACGTTACCACACACGCGCACGCACGCACAGCATAAACAGATCCGTTTATTCAGGTGAGCTGAACAGAGAAAAGGTTGCATTTTACATCGTTCCGCGACAGATTTATTTCCCTTGTTTGAACTACTGATATGAAAACTTGTAAACTAATTAAATGATCCCTCCTCACAACTAATTCAGGTAAACTGGTTTAACATAACTGCGGAAGATCCCCCCAGAATTATACAATGTCTGACTCCCGAACTACTGACTGTACAACCCGTACTACATGCTGCCATTAAGGATGGTGAGTGTCATCTTACCTGTTCTGGTCTCTCCGCCTTCTGCAAGAGGAGATATTTGTTTTAGACGTGGATCTCTTGAATGACCGTGCAATATGTGCACAGTGCAGGACAGGACACAATCATACCGTCAACCTGGACTATCACAGATCCACAAAACCATGTGTGCAGGAGACATTGGTTAGTGTAGAACATCCAGGTCCAGTGTAGGCAATAGATCCACCGTCCACGTTAGGTGTGCGGAGTATTCAACTGTCACCATGCTTACATGTTACAAGTTTGAAGTCATCCTAATTGGGATGGTTCTTTCTTTAAACAGACAGTTTCATTATGTCACGGCATTGGACGATGGTAGGTGAATATGTTCCGTTACTTAATTAAGTGTACAGAAAAGTGTGGATCGGGGTGAATAACTGTATTATCATATTCAACACAACTCTGGTGAATAACTGTATTATATTCAACACAACTCTGGTGAATAACTGTATTATCATATTCAACACAACTCTGGTGTATAACTGTATTATCATATTCAACACAACTCTGGTGAATAACTGTATTATCATATTCAACACAACTCTGGTGTATAACTGTATTATCATATTCAACACAACTCAACACAACTCTGGTGTATAACTGCATTCTCATATTCAACACAACTCTGGTGTATAACTGTATTATCATATTCAACACAACTCTGGTGTATAACTGTATTATCATATTCAACACAACTCTGGTGTATAACTGTATTATCATATTCAACACAACTCTGGTGAATAACTGTATTATATTCAACACAACTCTGGTGAATAACTGTATTATCATATTCAACACAACTCTGGTGAATAACTGTATTATATTCAACACAACTCTGGTGAATAACTGTATTATCATATTCAACACACCCCTGGTGAATAACTGTATTATCATATTCAACACAACTCTGGTGAATAACTGTATTATCATATTCAACACAACTCTGGTGAATAACTGTGTTATCATATTCAACACACCTCTGGTCAACCATTCTCTCACATTTGTCGAAATTAACATTTGGGCTGATATCAGATGACAGTTGTTCATATAGACAGACAGCCCATCCAGCTAGCTTTTCCGGTCCCGATAAGCTGTCCAGTGGACTGACTCGATTTAAAACTTGGCATACGCTGATTGCTCCAAACGGTGGGGGCGTCATAGCAATTGGTTTTCGATAATAATTCCACCCAATCAGATGCATACGACCACGTGACGTCATGAAAAACGCGATAACGTCACGCCGGAAGTATCGTCCGCATCTCTACTTTGAGGATGATAAAACTCCCATTGATTTAACATGGAGTTAAGTTGGTTTATTCTGTGATTTCTACCACTACTACATGAGTCATGACATTCTGGACTTGAGTTGGACTGCTCTTTCGCTTGGGACTGGGAGACAAACTAACTGATATAACTTGGTATTCTACATACTGAAGAGAACTTACACTTTTGAACGATAACATTTATAACTGCAGGAATGGGTATGCACCTTCGATGCTTGTGAGAGGATATTGTGAAATCCCGTGGACACATATTTTCATAAACCGGATATATAATTGCCACCTAGTGCATAAAATATATTTACCTCAATAACATGATGATTGTGAGAGCGACAGCGCCAGCGACTGCGACCACAAGTGCGACTGTTATAACTGCAGCCAGGAACACAGGAACCCTTATGGTAATCACGCCCCTTCCTCCTTCCTTGTTGTTCGCAGCTGCTGGAGTCAAAGACGTTATTTGACAAATCCAGCAGTGCTCATACAAACAGCTGGGCAATAGTTAATGCAATACTGTTCTGAGGACCTTGTGAGATCAGATAGTAACATAATTATAACTTTTCTTCATTACCAACATTTTGTTGGAATAAAATTTGTTTTGATAGGCAGACAATTGCTGTCGGCATGTCGGAAATGTCAAAATGCACCCACGCAGATTTATTGGTAAGTAATTCCTGTCGTTTGTTAAATTTAAGGAAATATCAAGGAAAACATCATCTTAATATTTGAACATTGCAAATAGATGTGAGTGTTGTAGTTGTATACTAGTAATGACGTTGTTTCTGCGAGGATAAAGTTGTTCATAATATTATATGTTGCTGTCGTGAAATAAGACTATGTTTCCGTGTGTTTCAGGACAGCGTGTTAGTTGTCCTCTACACCTGTGTGACTATTTACTGATTTCACAACGATGTATCGATTTACGCAATCAAAAATTCGGTTTTCAACTAAATTTTCACCTCATTTTGTACACATATGCTAACCAAAATTCGCACCTTTCGTGATGTTACAGAACTCTCCAGTATAAGTCCCATTGCAGCCAAGTACACATACTCCAGTTGTATGGTTGCATCTTTCCTCCACACAGTTCCTGTTGCAGGGATGTTCACACGTATCTCCATACCAGCCACGACCACAATCTGGACACATAATACATACTTATGAGATAGAAGAGTAACAACCCATTACACAACCATAAGAATTTACATATCCGACTATATCCTAAACAGATGTGTATGGATCACTAAGGAACGAGTGGTCTCCCTTTATGTGTATATTTATTTCCGGTACTGAAAGGCCACAGGCCGGTAGTACAACACATTTATAAATCAATATTTACACGCACATGTAATATACATGAAGACTGACTGACTGAGTTTGGTTTTACGCCGCTTTTAGCAATATTCCAGCAACATCACGGCGGGGGACACCAGAAATGGGCTTCACACATTGTACCCATGTGGGGATTCGAACCCGGGTCTTCGGCGTGACGAGCCATCGCTTTAACCATTAGGCTACCCCACCGCCCCTATACATGAAGAAGAGAAAATAATCAACTGTAGGTTAGATTGTGTTCTGAGATATATTCTGTCCTAAACAACAGGGCATAGTAAGCAAACATGGACAAGTTTGAAGTATAGTATAGTTTTTGTTATTTAACAATGCTGAAAATTTATAAAGGTTTGGATGGGCACAATAATATTTCTTAAAATACAACTTTCTCAGGGAATAATAAGCAGGGCAAATTAAAAGAAAATGATATGCAATTTCTATTTGGGTAAGATCACACACTTTGCAAGTTCTATTTTCTTTTTTGACATTTTTAAATCTTCCACTTTCGATAAATAAATCATGTGAAGAACATCTTAATCTGCTTAACGCTATCCCATACTTTTTATCGTTTAGACATGAAAGATAAATTTCGGCGTCAAAAGTATATTTAAACATCTTATAATACAAACATTTCCTGGAAAGTGATAACTTTTCAAACCATTCAAGCAAATAGATATCTTTTAATCTGCGTGTTAGTTCTAAAAGAAATCAACATACCGATCGCTCCATACAAAACCAAACCCTTTCGAAAATAGAAAATTTCTAACAGAAGAAACCCAATTTGAGTGTCTATTTTCATCGAAAAGCATCATCATATAGTAATATTTCTTTGGTAGCCTATAGGAAGGCATATCTTCAGTTATTTTAACCAGTATTTTACTCTGATATTTGAGAACAAGTGCATCGGGTATTTACCACATTCTCCATACACCATTGTATTCATCGTATTGGATTTTACACCAATAAATCTTGTCCATGCTTTCAATTTAACGCTTTCGATATCATTGCAATAATTCAAGCCCCATATTTCGACTCCATACAATAAAATTGGCTTAATTTGGGCATCGAATATTTCAAAGTATGAACTTATATCTATGTATCCAAGTACATTTAATTGTTTAAAGATACCTATCATGACCTTTTGTGCTTGCAAACAAGTGTAATTAACATGTGCTGTCCAAGATAAACAATTACTGAAGAACATTCCCAAATATTTGTACGAACTGGTGCATTTTAATTCTTTACCTTTGTACAACCATTTCTCGTTTTTTGATAAACGTCCCCCCTTTTTAAAAGCTACTACTTTAGTTTTATTTCCATTTACAGTTAATTTGCACTTTTCACAATAACTCTCATGTTCTTGTATAAGTCTTTGTAAACGATTTTGTCTGGAAAGAGCAGAAGAAAAATATGTACTAGGTCAGGGTGTAACTATATTCCATACTCACAATTGCTTTCAATTTGGGTTGCTAAATCATTTATGAAAAATGAGAATAAAAATGGGATAAGTATACAGCCTTGTCTTATCCCGCGTTGTAGTTCAAAAGAATCTGAGAATTCATTGTTATTCTTAACACAAGCTCCCTTTAGCTGCAGTCCCACGATTGAATTCACACTTCCCTCATTTTACTTTCGTTCATTGTTAGTGAGGCCACTAGATCATTCAAGAAGTGGGACATTTGTTGTAGTAAACGACCGCGAGTTTTTACTGTCTCTGTGTATGAGCCTCCGTTTCGAGATATAATCACACATATTATGTGTTTACCACTCTAGCTTTGTATTTCGTTCATAATATGTTGTTTAGTTGGAGAACAGGGACCCGATCTTTGTTTTTCCGTGACCTATCGCTTTGTTTAACGTAACTTATGCACAAACAACCCATGTATCGTTTCATGTCTACACCTGTGATAACGTTTATATTTAAGTACATTTAACCAAAACATTTATTGGTCCAGTTTTATACAAGACAGAATAAACGAGGACTTGTGAGCCTTGGAATACAGAAACATGTATGACACGCATATGATAACACTAAAGCTTCTACGAATGTTATAGCGTTGACAGGAGGAAACGACAGAAGCTACATGGTAAACAATGTACTCAAATTTGTGCACCTTCGTGACCCGCTTGTATCACTTATGGACAAGCTGAATGGCGAAGTGGCAAATTTGCCGGAGAAGTGTAAAAAACTGTACTATTTTTCATTTGAGCAATAAAGTCGAAATGCTAGTTTTCTTCATTAGTGAAATCTATGATAAATTTATACTAAACAGAGGCATGCACATTGAGACTGGGTGGGTGGGTGGGTTGGTAGGTAGGTGAGTGAGTGAGTGAGTGAGTGAGGTGAGTGAGTGGTGAGTGAGTGAGTGAGTGAGTGAGTGAGGTGGTGAGTGGTGAGTGAGTGAGTGAGTGAGTGAGTGAGTGAGTGAGTGAGTGAGTGAGTGAGTGAGTGAGTGAGTGAGTGAGTGAGTGAGTGAGTGAGTGAGTGAGTGAGTGAGTGAGTGAGTGAGTGAGTGAGTGAGTGAGTGAGTGAATATTTAACGTCACATCGGCAATATTTCAGCCATATCGTGACGAGAACATTTGATATTGAAATGAAATATATGTATATTAAAAAAAACCTGTCGACGAAGGACAGTAAAACAACAAGAATATCACAGATATGTATGTAAAACTAGTAATTAAATCTAAAACGTTTTAACTAGAGGGGAAAAACAATACAGTATAAAAATGAGCTATAAATCGCCAATAACTGAAGGTAGATCACCATACCAGGGACCATGGGGACTTACATTACTTTTGCTACCTGCATGGACCCTAGTTAGGTAGGTAAGGTAGGTAAGGTAGGTAAGTAAGTAAGTAAGGTAGGTAAGTAGGTAGATAGGTTGGTAGGTAGGTAAGGTAAGGTAAGGTAGGTAAGTAGGTAAGGTGGGTGGGTATTTGGGTGGGTGGGTGGGTAAGGTAGGTAAGGTAAGGTAAGGTGGGTAGTAAGGTGGGTGGGTAGTAGGTGGGATGGTACGTGGGTAAGGTAAGTAAAGTAAGAAAGTAAGGTGGGTAAGTAAGGTGGGTAGGTGGGTAGGTGGGAAAGTGAGTGAGGTAGGTAGGTTGGTAGGTAAGGTAGGCAGGTAGGTTGGTAAGTAGGTAGTGAGGTAGGTAGTGAGGAAGTGAGTTAGGTAGTGAGGTAGGTAGGTAGTGAGGAAGGTAGGTAGGCAGGTAGTGAGGTAGGTAGGTAGGTAGTGAGGAAAATACAGTAGGTAGTTAGGTAGGTAGTTAGGTAGTGAGGAAGGTAGGTAGGTAGGTACTGAGGTAGGTACGGTAGGTAGTTAGGTAGTTAGGTAGGTAGTGAGGTAGGTAGGTAGGTAGTGAGGTAGGTAAGGTAGGTAAATAAGGTAGGTAAGTAGGTAGGGAGGTTGTTAGGTAGGTAAGGTAAGGTAAGGTAAGGTAGGTAAGTTAAGTAAAAGTAAGTAAGGTAAGGTAAGGTAAAAGGTAGGTAAGTAAAGTAAGAAAAGGTAAAGGTGGGTAAAAGGTAAGGTAGGTAGGGAGATAGGTAGATAGTGAGGTAGGTAGGTAGGTAGGTAAGGTAGGTAGGTAGGTTGGTAAGGTAGGTAAGGTAAGGTAAGGTCAGGTCAGGTCAGGTCAGGTCAGGTCAGGTCAGGTCAGGTCAGGTCAGGTCAGGTCAGGTCAGGTCAGGTCAGGTCAGGTCAGGTCAGGTCAGGTCAGGTCAGGTAAGGTAAGGTAAGGTAAGGTAAGGTAAGGAAAGGTAAGGTAAGGTAAGGTAAGGTAAGGTAAGGTAAGGTAAGGTAAGGTAAGGTAAGTAAGTAAGTTAGGTAAGGAAAGGTAGGTAAGGTAAGGTAGGAATGGTAAGGTAGGGTAGGTGAGTAAGGTAGGTAAGGTAAGGTAAGTAAGGTATTTAAGATAAGGTAGGTAAGTAGGTAGGTAAATGAGGTAGGTAAGGTAGGTAGATAAGGTAGGTTGGTTTGTAAGGTAGTGACGTAGTTAGGTTAGGTAGGTAGGTAGGCAAGTAAGGTAGGTAAGGTTGGTAGGCAAGGTAGGTAGATAAGTAGGTAGGTAAGGTAGGTGTGTAAGGTAGGTAGATAAGGTAGGTAGGTTTCTAAGGTAGTTAGGTAGGTAGGTAAGGGTGGTAGGTAGTTAAGGTAGGTAGGTAAGATAGGTAGATAAGGTAGGTAGCTTTGTAAGGTAGGTAGGTAGGTAGGTAGGTAAGGTAAGGTAGGTAGGTAGGTAGGTAGGTAGGTAGGTAGGTAGGTAGGTAGGTAGGTAAGGTGTGGTAGGTAAAAAGGTAGGGTAAGGTAAAGGTAAAGGTTAAAGGTAGGTGGGTAAAGGTGGGTAGAAGTATGTAAGGTAGGTAAGGTAAGGTAGGGGAAGGTAAAGGTAAGGTGAGGTAAAGGTAAGGTAAAGGTAGTAAGGTAAGGTAAGGTAGGTAAGGTAGGTAGGTGAAGTAAAAGGTGGGTAAGGTAAGGTAGGTAGAGTAAGGTAGGTAAGGTAAGGTAGGTAGGTGGGTAGGTAGGTAGGTAAAGGTAAAGGTAAGGTAGGGAAGTAGAAGTAAAGGTAGGTAAAGGTAAAAGGTAGGGTAAAAGTAAGGTAGGTAAGGTAAAGGTGGAGGTGGGTAAGAAAGGTAGGTAAGGTAAGGTAGGTAGATGGGTAAGAGTAAAAAGTAGGGGAGGTAGGTAGGTAAAGGTAAAGGTGGGTAAGTAGAAGTAAGTAAGGTAGGTAAGGTAAGTTTGGCAAGTTAGGTATGTAAGGTAAGGTAGGGTAGGTAAGAAAGGTAGGTAAGGTAAGGTAGGTAGGT